CGTTATAACCATAGCTGGGGTGGACGGTACGTGAAATAGTACTACTTTGGGAAGGTGAAAGTTGGGTCAGCCTGACCGTGGAAACCCAAGAAAGCTCCTTTGTCCCTAGTGGGCTAACCACACTGCAGTTTTACTCAGTTGTGTTTTGACGTTTCCCTACTTCATCAGCTTTGACAGGGGAGTTGATGGTGGCCACTTTCTTATATTTAGGACATTTCTGACATGTAGTCCCTTGCATTGGAAGTCGGCCAGTATATTTCTCTACTAGTTCTCAGTGAGTTCACCATCTTTGGTTGATGACATTGGCAGCTAGAAACAGATATGTCACTTTGCACATCAGGAACTCAGAAAACATGAGGTCAAAGGTGGGCCAGGCCTGCTTCTCATGGTACCTCCTCATTTCCAGGCCGGCGCAGGTGGGAGCCACCCGTGTGCTCCAGATAGCTGTGCTTGTGGATTTGTTGATACACGTGCCGTAACTCCACTGTAGTAAAACTAGCCCCCCCAGCCACCCACCCCCAAGTATCCATGGAGCCAAGTGACCAGAGAAGCAAAGAAAGAAGCCCCTACTGGCTGTTGAAGCGGCTTCCACTTTTATCAGCCACAACCCAGGTCGCACCCAGGTCCCTAGTTCGGGGAGGAGTGAGGGAATCTGGGTAAGCACACAATCCTTCACAGGAGAATCAGGCAAAGGCCACACTTGGAAAATCAGTTTGCAAAGACTAGTTCACCCCACTTACGGAGCTCTCTGCCATCCTGCTGAGACCACAGTCAGCCCAGAGGTGGTCAGGTGAGGGTGTGTTGACGACCCCTCCCCTTGTCCCGACCACCTGCTCAGCCCCGTGCCATCCCAGGAGCACCCACTTCTTTGAACTGCTGTCAGTTGAGACCCCAGGATGAGGACCCACTGAGTCCAGCTCTGAGCTGGGCTGTCATGCACGGCACTGAATTGTCCACTGCCTAGAAGAGGGACCAACAGTTCATGAGCGCACGGGACAATTTGCAGGATGGAGGGAGGGCACTGGCTGCCCTCACGCCCAACTCCTGGTATACCCTCCACCGTCCCGTCACAGCCAGAGCTCCCCATCATAGTTCCTCCCCCAAAGGGCCATCCTACCAAGTTGTGTCCCCAGTCGGGTGGGTGAGGGGATGGATGGACGGATAGGTGAGTGGGTGGGTGGATGGACCGACAGGTAGGTGGGTGGGTGGGTAGGTGGAAGGACAGATGGACGGGTGGGTGGATGTGTGTGTGTCCACAGGCCAGGCTGGCTGCAGAACCTCAGCCCTGACAGCACCACGCAGGGGCGTCTCTGCCTTGCCACCTAATCCCAGGTTTTGCCCAGCATTTCTCAAAGGGTGGACTGTGAACTTCTGGAGAATGCATTATAATTTCAAGGTTATACACAGAACTTTTAAGAGTTATCATTTTGTAAGTCTTAATGTATTCACAAAAACAATATATAAACTATCAAAAACATTTTTTAAAAGCCCTTCACATTGAGAAGCATC